ATGCTTTCTAGACAACTTTTATCTTCCAAAGTTTTAATGTAATGTTAATTATTATCTACTGTCTCTTCGATTACTTTTCTTATATCGTTTTCGTTCCTTAATAACGTTTCTCCTTTTCTTATTCTGTCTACTCAGCAATTCCTTGTGTCTTAGTGGCTCTACTACTTTGCTTGGGGTAAAATGATTTAAAAAAAATATTTTATCTGCGAGGCAACTTCATTAGTATCATATAAACTACAATTATTGGCATGATTTAAAATCTTTTAATTCTGTGATCGCGTGTTATACTTTAGTTTGATTTTAGAAGGTTATTAGAAACAATATTTTTGCTAGATCCAGAACATTCGTCTAAGGAACACTCGTCTGAAGAATATACGTTTAAGGAATATTTGTCTCTAGAGAATTATGGTTTAATGTGGATTGTATTAATATACAAAAAATGCATGCCAATAAATGCTTATAAACAACATGTATCATCAGTAATTAATGTTTCTATAAGTGTCTTAATATTATTCTGTAATATAGTGAATATCAATGAAATTGAGTATTTTGTACATGAATAAAGTGTTCATTTATTAAAAAAATATTATTATAGACCAATGGTCTTTAGACGAGTATTCCACAGACCAATGGCCCTTAGACGAGTATTCCATAGACCAATGGTCCTTAGACGAGTATTCCATAGACCAATGGCCCTTAGACGAGTATTCCATAGACCAATGGTCCTTAGACGAGTATTCCATAGACCAATGGTCCTTAGACAAGTATTCCATAGACCAATGGTCCTTAGACAAGTATTCCTTAGACAAATGCCCTTATGCAGGTTTCCCTTGAACCAATATTCGCTAGACGAAGGTTCCTCAATCCTTTTTTGCACTATTTGAGAGCCAACACACAGTGATGGCTACCAAAGGTGTATCTTCGGAAAATAGCGCCGATGGAAAGCCGTGAAATTGAGCTCCTATTCAAATCTTTGACACAGTGACGTCCATTTTCTTTATATAAGCTTACTAAAAGCACAGCTCAAAAATACAACAAATTATGCCACTCTATGGCAATTACAACTGTGCTTGATTTGTTTCAAAATGGTCCATGATTGCGCTCAATGTTTATTCTGTTTTTTTATTTATTTATTTTATTTCTGCTCTCAGCAGTGTAAGACTACACAGTATACCTTTTCCCATGTGTTTTGCCTAATATTTTATATGTGGTTTAACAATTTGTTCAGCATAGCGGTTTTCACCTGTAGAACGTGATTTGCAGTCAGTGTCACACAAGAACATCAGAAGAACTACGTACATCAGAAGGATGACATGGAAGGTGTCCTCATAGCCGCCAGGATGTCATTGGCTGCCCCCGACATGTAAACAGATGTTTGTCCCAGCTACACTCAGGGTGCGTATACATGGCACAGTCGGGTGACAGAAATTTATATAAGCGTCCCACTCTCTCTTAGTTCCTCGTGAGAAAAAGGTCCCTGTTCGGAGAAAGCTCCTAAAGCCACACACACACACCACCCACACATACGCACGCACGGACACTACGCCGATATTACACCGGGCGTGAATAAACAATAATTTTACGTACGAGGTATTTGCTCACGTGTTATTACTAATTATAAGAACAAAACCATTACACGCCTAAGATAAACGAATACGTCTAAAGAATTTATTTTTACTATTCAAGAATGGTTTGTCCCATTTTGTTAGATACTGTTCTGTACCGTACCTGTCAAGTGGTGCCCATGACACTTGCCATGTCTTAGTCATCGCGCACACAAAATAACAAAACTGTTTTATTAATTTGTGGCAGGATAAAAAAAATCACTTGAGGGGTATCTTGGTAGGGTTATCGGTGGCAAGATGATTACCTCTCACTCGCTTTTAATGTTCGACCCCAGGTTTCGAATAAGTAATTTGATCACCGAAGTTAAGCAGCGACAAGTTCGGTCACTACTTAAATGGGAGACAGCTTGAGAACATCAGGTAATTGATAGGAGTTTACATTCTACTAAACTAGCTGTTATCCAAGGCTAGAGAACCCCGATTTCTCTGCTACTGAACAGTGAAGAGGAAAAACATTAAAAAGGTGAACATATCTATAGTTGAACAATTGATTGATGGCGTAATTCCAGTGCCCGGTGGATGGTGCGTCTTATAATGATTACACAGACGAAAAGAATCTCCATAAATAAGGAAAAGTCTATTTTAAATATGTTATCAACTTTCCGCTTGAAAAAAAAAGATTAATATCTAAAAAAAGTTGAGCAATGTTTATTAAAAATACTTCAGAACGTTTTTGTTTTTGTTTCTAGCAATGAAAATATTCGACTGCTGTCCAAATAGAATCCATATTGCAGTTTTATCCGACAACATTGTTCAGCATCCTCGAGTTTTAACAGTTATAATTTAGCGTTTTTGGCTGGTGTTTTTACAACTCAAATTTGGCTGTCATTTCCTTGCAAAATAGAAGCGCTGATATATTTGTACAACTGATAAACTAACTGGAGAGATCAAGAATATCAGACAACCGTACTACATTTTAGCGACATCAAATACCACAGGACGACGACAGTGCTGAAGATTTTATCTGGAGGTTTGCTGTGGTTGCTTGTCTTAATGATTGTGGTAAAATAATCTTTTTAGGTTATAAAACTACAACTCTCTCGCGTAGACTCACATATAATCCTCATATATAAACGCAATGTTCAATGAAACTCATCTCATATAAAGATTTTTTTTTCAAATTTATATATATATATATATATATATATATATAACGATATATATTTTTATATATCAAGAACAATATTCCGGAAAAATGTATGATAATTTGGAAAAATGTTTCTTGAGACGCGTTTCATCCGATGAAGTCCTAAAGGACGAAACGCGTCATAAGAAAACTTTTGTCCATTTTGTCATATATTTCCCCATATATATATATATATATATATATATATATATATAATCTCGCTCAGGCACATTTTTGTTTGTTCAACACCCACAGAGCCCATCCGTGGTTTATACTGCAACTATGCTGAGCAGACCTTAGTTACAGTTTTCTGGGAGAAAGCGTGTTATCTAGCGTGATCAACAATCTGGACAAGACCAGCACACTCAAAACCTCGGTCACGATGGATTGTGACTTCGTGCTAACATAGCTATAGACGGTTCCCCAAGTGTTCCGTCTACCCAATTTCACTCACAAGGTTTGGGTCAACCCGTGGTATAGCTTTTCAGGCTGCAGTATCACCCCCCCTCTCAAGACTGAAAACATCAGGAAGTCTCCTTCCTGACAAATCAACCGTAGTGAGATTAGAACCCGGGTCTCATGGTCAGAAAGTGAACGTTCTAACCACTCGTCTATATATATATATATATATATATATATATATATATATATATATATATATATATATATATATATATATATATATATATATATATATATATATATAAATATAACATAAAAGAACAGTAAGATATATAATCTGGTACTCTTATTGATATTTTTATTTTTACAAAATAGTGCTCAATATAAATTTACAGAGCATTAATATTATAAATTAATTGATTTAAAATATGTTTTTTTTCGCTACACAGTTCTAACCATGTTTCAAAAATGGAAGCTAAAAAAATTCGCTTGAGGATGAAATGGAACTAATGTCTTTAATTTAATTGCAAAATTAAATTCGTGGCTTTTAGCTTCCATTTCAATCTCATTAAGTATGTTGTTTTCCTCTGTCCCTCTTACTTTCTATCAGCCCCGTGAGTTTCATAATTCTTTAAAATTACTTTGTTTACGATTTTGCTAAAAGGAAATAGGTAGCTATGGACTGAGTATTTGTCACAACGATAAATACGCATTTCTTAAATTGGGTAACCAAAACTTGCTATGCTGTAATGACTTCACGTAGCTTTATGGTAAAGTCAGTATGGTCTAAAAATAGTTTCCCAGGTTAAAGAGGGAATACGGGTCCGATTTCTGTTAAGCCCGGTAAACGCTAATTTCAATGCTTAAGAATTGCGATGTCTATTCAAACTTATGTTCACGCTAAATATAAAATTTAGAGCAATTATATATATATATATATATATATATATATATATATATATTCATGAATTATTCATACAAAAACAATATATATATATATATATGCCAAATAAAATTTTAAATTTTGAACATTTTCCTGGTTTCCCGTGAAAGCTTATATGAATAAAGGCAAAAAGGAAACTTATCTTTATTCAGATTGTCTTACATGTAAAATTTTTACACACATACACAGATATATATATATATATATATATATATATATATATTAATAATGCCAAATTCGGTACTTAGAGTTTCATGCAATAGCGATTATCATCCGTATCTACGGAACCCTCAGTTTATTTTATATCTCAAACTTTTACCTTATTGTAATCTTTAGCTTTTATTTTATATTTATTATATATATATATATATATATATATATATATATATATATATATATGTGTGTGTGTGTGTGTGTGTGTGTGTGTGTGTGTGTGTGTGTGTGTGTATGTGTGTTTCAGCAATCATTCTATCTGCTCCCCGGGGGATATCAGCAATATGTGTGTGTGTGTGTGTGTGTGTGTGTGTGTGTAACATACACAAACACAGTAAGCGTACATATATTTTTCTACCGTTTCCATTCAGGATGTAAGCGATCACTATTCTCCCCATATTCCTTTTCTTTATTTGTGAATCGGGAGACTTCTTGGTAAATTTAGTGGAGTAGTTTCCTGTTGCCTTAGAGCCTAGTCTACCATTCTATTTAACTCACAACCCGGGTGGTGTGGAGAAGAAAGGGCATTAGTAGGGAAGTGAACGCAACAGATTAGGACTCTACTTGAACTCAGCTTGTCGATTTCACTTTGGGCATCAACAACCATTACACTAAGTGAAACATTCATAATAAATACATGAAGAAGTAAAGTGAATTTCAATTTTTTATTACATTAAAAATTATTTGTTTATCATAATGAAATCGTTGACTTTATTGATACAATCAGGCTTAGGGCAATTATAAGGTTGGTGGAAGTAATAGCAGCGGCATGGGTGTGCCCGGCGGAGTCGGTCCTCTCAGCATGCCAATCACAAAATATTCGCTCTGACGAGCCGCACAATCTTTTGAGGGCCAGTCCCAAAGTGTGATTCTGCAAGTTATTGTTTTCATATAGCCTGGGCGTCGTACACTTGCCAAGAAGATGCTCGATGGTGCCACTATTGATAATTCTTTCCACGTTGCAGTCGCATTCGATCGGGTTCATTGTCAAGTTCAGTTCGTAGAACGTACAGCGTGGCGCCTGGACTACAAACGACACGTCATGGATTCGATTGTCGGACAGGTCCATAGCGATAGGACGGTGGAGGTAAACAAAGGCCTCTGGGGAAATATTACGTACCTTCATGGAACGCATCACTAACCTTCGAGCGCGAAGTCCACGGAAGAAGTTTTCACCTATATATTGAAAATTGTTATGCGAGACGTCGATAAAGACGAGTTTTTGCAATTCCTTCAGAGCCGGAATCGGCAGGGATGGCAATTTCATGTTCTTTAGGTAGAGACGACGGAGACTACCTTCCAAACCAGCGAACATAAATTCCTCAAAATGCATTGGGTTGCCGCTTATATGCAACTGCTTTAGTTTGAAATTACCGTCAAACGAACCATTCACTAAATGTGGGATGCGGTTGTTACTCAAAAGTAGCGTGTGAAGCGCTTTCAAGTTACTCAGAGCGTGGATGGGCACGGCAGTCAGGCCGTTGTTACTGAGGTCTAGCACTTGTAAGGAATTGACGAGTCCGTTGAAGGAGTCTTCGTGGATAGAAGTCACGGATACCAGTTGATTCGATACTAAATGCAATTCACGAAGACGTTTTAAATGTTGGAATGTGTTTTCCTGGATGGAGCGGATTTGGTTGGAGTTGAGCACAAGTTTTTCTAATTGCGTTAATCGTGATGCTTCGACTGGGATGTCGGGTAAAAAATTACCAGACAGGTCAAGTTCTTTTAAATGCTCCAAATCGACAAAAGCTTTCCAAGCTATACGAAAGATTCCACAAGACCTCATGCTGAGTTTCTTCAGCGACAATAAATTCAACCCCCGAAAGAAGCCCATGGGAAATTGCAGCGGCCATCCTCCATTGTAGTCAAGAAATAGTTCGTGGACGTGGACAAGGCCTTTAAGGTAATCAAGTCTTTCGTGAAAAGTTATGCCCATTTTTGTAAGTACCACCTTATGAAGGTGATGCCGCAGAGGCTGCAAGGCATCTTTATGTATTGTGAGATTTTCGCTCTCACTGAAATCAACCGATTCAACGTTGAGGGCGGGAAAGACATCAGATGGCATCAGAGGAAAAGAATTGTTCCTTAGATCGATCAGCCGGATCTTAGAGCCCTCGTTGAAGACCAACTTGGGGAATTTGGTGAAACCTCGTGAGGAACAGTCAACCATGAGGAGAAAATCCATGGTCATCCGGTCGACTGTGAGGGAACAGTCGCAGGGAAGTTCGGGAGGACATTCTAGAATGGATCCTCTGGCAGCCAGTTGGACGAAAAGATTCGACACGACTCCCAACCACGTGACTAGTACGCCGACCTTCATGTTGATTCATGCTGCAACTGAAAAAGAAGAAAACGAAAAGAGAATTAAATAACCAAAATAAACATCTTTTTCTAACTGCTCGTCGACAGAATACCACATTTCCTGTACATTCTTTTCAAAACTAAAATTAAAACCAAAACAAAAAGTCCTCTAAGAATCATTCTGTGTTTTATCCTCCGAAGGTTGGCTTTGGTTAGACTTTTGGGTAAAAGTTACTAGTAACTCATTTCCTGATGGTCTCAAAACAAAATATGATTACAAATGATAAAATTATGATTACAAAATAATGTCAATACACACACGTACATTATATATATATATATATATATATATATATATATTAGGTATATCTAGTCAGCAAATGTTTATTACTAGTGACTGCATCGCTGAAAACAATAAAGGATAACATCTCATATAGGATATACAACCTCAACTTTATCGCGTAGACTCACATGTAATAACTCCGACCAAACCGCTATATAACGCCCGATTTGCTATATTAGAGGTAGCAGTTGAGCATTAGACAGATAAAATGGCGTGTGACATAAGGCTAATGTGCGAAGGCGAGACGTCAATGAATTCATTCTTGCTGAAAACGAATGAAACCATTGATGTCTATCGACGCTTGCTTAACAAAAAACAGAGACTAAACACTGGATGTGAACATAAACAGTAATGCTTTCCAGAGGAAATGCTGATGGTCGTCGTCATCGCTTTCGCTGTTTCTTGTATCTCTTGTCGCTCCAGTGGAAGCATTACCTTTAGAGCATACCTCGGATATAGAGTATGTGCTAAAAGGTTCTCAGCTCGACTTTAATGATATTTTGCATTGAAAAATATATTTCCTATTTGAAAACTATTTTCAAAAGTTATTAAAGTCTAACGTAAATTCGTTAAAGTATTATTTGTTTTGAGTAGTTTTATTTTTATTGTTTTGTTTTTTAATCACAACGCTCAGGACGTTTCTCATTTTATAGGGGCTTACGGCCATACCACTTTGAAACATCGAGGTTAAGCAACGTTGAACCTGGTCAGTACCTTGATGGATGACCGCTCGGGAATACCAGCTGTTGTAAGCTTGGACGTACGGGAGGTGTAATGACTAACGGCTCAGAATGAGAAATCATAGAGTCGAGTTCAAATTCCACTAGAGTTCCTTATATTTCCTTACATGCAAATACCCTTGGGAAAGGTATGAATCTAACTTTTCTCCTCCTAGCTATGGATTAATTAGTAAGACTTGTATCAGAAAATTATTATTATCTCCAGAAAATACTTATAGTCGAAAAATATGTTTCGGCTTTAAATAATCTTAAAAAGGTTGATAAGCTGAAAAAAAATCTAATCAATCAGTCATTCTATAGCCGTAAAATAAATTTTTGTTATCAAAAATAAAGACGAAGTTAGAACTGACATCTCCCAGTCTTACTACTTCCTTAACGTTCAAAGAATGTTAGACAATATGATTGTTACGATGAACAGTAAGGACAGTGCTAAAAAGAAAAAAACTAGTCAAAATTAACGATGAAAATTTGTTATCCAAGAAATTTGGAAAACTTGACACTAAGTTGAGACAATTTTTTATTCTGTCTTATTGCACCTATATATCAAATTCTGTGACTTCCGTTAGTCCGTCCGCCTGTGCGTCTGTTTGTCAAACCCTCTAAAATATCCATACATTTAACAGATCGAAAATAAACGCTTGGAATTTGACTGTAGAAAGAAATATTTACTCATGGCCAGTTGTATGTTGCATATTCAAGAATAAGAAATTTTAAGAATTTATTTTTCACCGTTAAAAAGAAAAAAAAGAAGAAAGAAATCTCCTTAAAAATATTGTTTACCATGAAATCCTATAAAATTAAATTACATTAAAGAAATTATCAAACCGCGAAGTGGGGTTTTTGTCAAAGTATTTTCCAAACAAATCAGCTTATTCAAATTTCATTGATTGGTTTGTGAAAATGAATGAAACGTTGAGTTTGTAAATCTCGTCAAAAATGTTAGCGAATGTTGCAAAACAATTTTTTTTAAAATATATATCTTTCCTGAGCTTCTGTATTGACGGAGTAGTCAGTAAATAAGCTCTATAAAGCAGGAGTGACAAAAAAGGATTAGTGTAAAAACTACATATAATAAATTTCAGATGTTCGAGAGTGGGTAAACGTAAGCATGCGTTCTCATTGTTACATTCACGTCTTGTTTTATATAAACATAATATGTCTATTGAACCAAGTGCCAGATCTACTGCTGGGAAATTTGGTTCAGTGTGTGTTGGTAGATTTTTTTTTTTAATCAGAATCTGTCTTACACATTTATAAGTCTACCATTCGCGTTGGTGCTTCTGCTATGTATTTAGAGATTGTTGATAAAATACAGAGAAGAATCTGTATTGTTAATGGTTCTGAGCTGGCATCTCGGCTTCAGTCACTTTCCCACCGCTGTAACGTAAATTCGCTCTGCCTTTTCAATAAATACTTTCATGATAATTGTTTTGATGAACTTTCTTCTATTTTAAATATTAATTGGTTTTTCATTTTAAAATGTTGTTATTTTTATCCCCCAGACAAATTGTACATATAGGAACTAAATAGGACTTCATAGAGACTTTGAGGTATTATGGTGACTGTAGTTAGAATGGTAAGTAAGAATGTGTTGTTTTAGTTTAAGGAATACTGTGGTATGTTTGTGCCAGTAATTGTGACTGGCTAAGTTAGGACAGATTGTAGACCAGCCTTACCTCATCCTCCCCTTGGCCTTGTGCCACATTTTTGTATTTGCAAAATAAATATTTCTTTTCCGCTTTGGTACCTAATACTTATGAATTTAAGCTCAGTACTACATTGTCGGCATGGTCGCACCATTTTACAGTTGAAATGGTTAGATGTAACCGTTAGTTCTATGTAAACAGATTCTGATATCAGACTTCTCGCTTTTGGAACTTTCTTCCGGTTCCATGCTTTCCGGTTAACCTTGATCTTCAATAATTTAAATGCAATGCCAATCATTATCTTGTATCTTCTTAATTCCAGTTCTTTTATTAAAAGAACAGGTTTCAGGAAAAAAAGATGGCGTTTGACGTTGCATTTAAATTTTAGAAGATCGTAGATGGCAGGGAAGCAAAAAAACCGAAAGAGATTTCTCCGGGCGAGAAGTGCGAGAAAAAAACTATTAGAATAGATCTTACGGTTACATTTAGTAAAACGATAAGACCAAGTTTCCAATTTAGTAGTACGCTTAAATTTATACGGTCGAAGTACCAAGGAGGAGAGCTCATGAGAACAATTTTCATGAAAATATTTATAGGAAAAATAAAGTGAAAACACGAACCGGCGGTGGGAAAGTGACTGAAGTCAAGATGTTAGGTCAGGACCGATAACATAGCAGACCCTTCTTTGGAAAATCTCAAGAAATATTACAGGAGCCCGAAACTAGATATGGCGACAATATTCAATACACGGACGAATAGTAGATTTAATATTTTTTAGCAGTATGATATTCCTTGAAGTATTCCGTGCACAATTTAGTTGTGCATTCTTTGTCGCTATTTTTCTCCTCTTTCTTCTTCTTCGAAGCATGTATGCAGATATATCATTGTCTTTTGCTTGCCCTTCCGGCTTTATTTGTGGGTAAATATAACAAGAAATGGGGTAACATGATGGATCCGAGTAAGACGTAACCCCATAAATCTAGTTGAAAATTTCGACACGAATGAATCGTTGGAAAAGCTTGAAATAATCAATTAATGATATCTACTTATCTCCAATGAAAAATCAATTGATCCCAGTCGAACGTCAATTGATGATATCTGCTGATCCCCAAGGAAACGTCAGTTGATGATATCTGCTGATACCCAATGAAATATCAATTAATGATATCTGCTGATCCCCAATCAGACATCAATTGATGATATCTGCTGATCCCCAATGAGACATCAATTGTTTATATGTGCTGATCCCCAATGAAACGTCAGTTTATGATATCTGCTGATCCTCAATGAAACGTCAATTGATGATATCTGCTGATACCCAATGAAATATCAATTAATGATATCTACTGATCCCCAATCAGACATCAATTGATGATATCTGCTGATCTCTAATGAAACATCAATTGGCGATGCCCGCTGTTTAAGGGTTAAATACGGCCAGTCAAAGCTGAGCTCGTTGGAGAAGAACTATCTCTTGTAATATGTTGTAGGCGTAGATAGCGAATAAGGAATCTAAGTGTTTTACTCACATTTGCTGTTAATTGCTTCTATATTCTTTCTTTCTTTCTCTACTACATTCTCTTCTTTTTATTACTGTCGTACAGCACTTCTCATTCTTCGTTAATTTGTCTATTGCTCAACTATTCTTTCTGTCTATATTCCGTTTCTGATTGCCGCCAAACACCGCGAGGAAAACACGAGCCGTGCATATCCCAATGCGCATGCGTAAGAAAGCATATCAGTTTTCATTGCTCCTTTCAGCAAGTTCCATTTTTGTTGAAAAATGCTCTTGTCGTCCACCCGCCACCCCGTTTGATTCTTCTTCTTCTTCTTTCATCCTCATCCCAAATCTACATCGCTCTATCTGAGCTCACTCTCATCGTCTAACCACCCGCATCTGACAAATCATCGAAAGGTTGTCTCCTCTGTTTTCTTAGCTTCGCGGCTTGACATCCGATCACTTGCCTGCGTCACTGGTAAAATGTAAGACACATAACACACACACAGACACACGTATATATATATATATATATATATATAGATAGATAGATAGATAGATAGAGAGAGAGATAGAGAGAAGCAGAGACAGAGTAAACGTGATAGAGAGAAAGGGAGAGAATCAGAATGAAATTCGTAGAGCGATAGGTGAAAAGTACAAAGTATGTTAATTGCAATTGTAGCGCGATTTTGATGTATTTTCCGACTGTAACTGACTTAGAGAGTAACGCGTCCATAAGACGTTCTGCAGATGAAGGTGCGCCAATAGGTAAATTTAGGTGTGGAGACACAC